CAATTGGGAAGATCAACAAGGGTTTTAGGGAATATTAAACTCCCACCCCCGTTAAACTTTACATTCAATTGGGAAGATCAACCAAGGTATCAGGGAATATTAAACTCCCACCCCCGTTAAACTGTACATTCAATTGGGAAGATCAACCAGGGTATTAGGGAATATTAAACTTCCACCCCCGTTAAACTTTCCATTCAATTGGGAAGATCAACAAGGGTATCAGGGAATATTACAGTCCCATCCCCGTGAAACTTTACATTCAATTGGGAAGATCAACAAAGGTATTAGGGAATATTACAGTCCCACCCCCGTTAAACGTTACATTCAATTGGGAAGATCAACAAAGGTATTAGGGAATATTACAGTCCCACCCCCGTTAAACTTTACATTCAATTGGGAAGATCAACAAAGGCATTAGGGAATATTACCTTCCCACCCCCATTAAACTTTACATTCAATTGGGAAGATCAACAAGGGTTTCAGGGAATATTAAACTCCCACCCCGATTACACTTTGCATTCAATTGGGAAGATCAACAAGGGTATTAGGGAATATTAAACTCCCACCCCCGTTAAACTTTACATTCAATTGGGAAGATCAACAAGGGTATTAGGGAATATTAAACTCCCACCCCCGTTAAACTTTACATTCAATTGGGAAGATCAACAAAGGTATTAGGGAGTATTACAGTCCCACCCCCATTAAACTGTACATTCAATTGGGAAGATCAACCAGGATATTAGGGAATATTAAACTTCCACCCCCGTTAAACTTTACATTCAATTGGGAAGATCAACAAGGGTTTTAGGGAATATTAAATTCCCACCCCCGTTAAACTTTACATTCAATTGGGAAGATCAACAAAGGTATTAGGGAATATTAAACTCCCACCCCCATTAAACTTTACATTCAATTGGGAAGATCAACAAAGGTATCAGGGAATATTAACCTTCCACAAAACTCACCATTCAATGAAGACATAGCTTCCGGTGATTATCAGACAGGATGCTCGAAACTGCGCCTTCCAATAGGGGGCTCAAGATGGACTGGCTTCAGTTGCCGTGGCAATTCCGCCAGCAAGTGCGGTGATTATTAGGTAAGGAAGGTGACGGCCTGAACGTAGTCTGCTGGGTCGAGGATGACATTTCCAGGGCCTTGTTCCTTGGTTTCACACTCATTGAAGAAGTTATCAAGGGAGTTAACTTTTTTTAGGAAAAAAAGGTACCAAAGAACCATGTCCCCAACCATCGGTCTTTACGCGGACACTATGAAAATCCAGCCCCGGTGAACTACGGCATTTATTATAAACTCAGTCATAGCACATCACCCCCACATTGTTCACAGTCACCCATGAGGCTAGCCATTGAGTTCGACAAGGCCAACCGTGAGCTTCAGCAACGAGCCACGGAACGCAAGAGGGTGGACCGTGCCCGATTTCGTTTCTGAAGAAAAGATCTGAATGGGCAAGAAGCTTAGCAACCCTGCAGCTTTGGGCAAGGCAGGTAAAGTTGACAAACCTTACGGCAAAAAGATCGCTTGCAACAAGAGATTCAGAACAGTGCACAAGGTCACATACCCAGGTGGCACCAAAGCCTCTCCTCATACTCGAGCTGTCCGTGACGTCGAGCAAATGCCATAAGGGGGTGTCATGAACATGCCAAAACAAAAAGCAAGAGCAGTCCTTATCCAGCAGGGAGTGATTGGAAGGATCCGCTCACCTCCGAGAGAGAGGATTGCGTGTTGGAATTGTGGTTGTTTCATGAAGCCGCAGCGAGACAATTTGTTGCGGTGTGTGCATGACAAGTGCACTGTGCGATCCAGGGTGAACCAGCCTCATTTAGCTTACAGTCCGTTCTACGCGCAGGCTTCTGCAGGTTGGGACGTCAACTATGCTGGCTTGCTGCGAACTTGCTATTGTCTAGGAATCAAGGCAGCCAACGACCAAGCTGCTCACTTGTCGAGAGACAAAGACCAGAGTTTTCGCAGTGCCCAAGACATGGTGCATTTGTTCTACAAAAAGCACCGAGTCGTGCTGGCATACGCTGAAAAGATCCATGCGAGCCAAGAAGTCTTCCAAGATGACATCGTGGAAGTGGATACGGGACGTACAAGCGGCAAAACTGTTGGTGGATCACGACATCATCAACGTCGTCTTTTGGCCCTGAAAGGTCGCTTGCAGAAGACTTGGGCAGTGCATAGCTTGGAGACCAAAATCAGCGATGGTAAGAGGGGCTCACCGCCAGAGACAAAGTCCGAGATGACACCGCTCTTGCAAGGCAGCCTAGGCAAAGGGGTGGTTGTGGCACCAGACAGTGCGCACGCTTGGCGTGCTGCCGCAAGTGGCCACGCACGCCTGACAGGCGTAAGCCACCTCAGAAAGATATACACGCCAGCTTCGCGGCTGCAAAAAAAACCTGGACAAAAGGATTAGCAAGCTCTTGAAGCGCAACAGCAAAGGTCCCCGACGCTTGGCTTGTGAGTACAAGAATCGCTGGCGACTGGCTGGAGGGGACAATGCCGCTGAGTCCTTGCTAGGACACGTGAAGAACGCAGGTCGTCGTATGCAGACTGTGGGCAGAACTGGATCGTCAGCTCTCAAGGAGGTGCAATCTCTGGCTGCAGCTCGTTTGTTGCGTTGTCCTGGATTACTGACTATCCTCAAGGCGTATCGCCAGTATCGAGAAGCCGGCCTCAAGGGGCAGTTGCAGATGTCACCGTCCCAATGTTTTGAGCCAGAGAAATGCTCCTGGCTGACAAATCAAGCTTCTGGGAGCATGGGATGATTTTCCTCCAGCCCGGCAAAGGAAGCAGTACAATATAGTACAATATAAACGACATGGCCTTGTCGGAAGAAAATTGGGTGCTCTGTCCTGCTATTGATGATGTTGATGATGTTGATGTCGATGATGTTGATGATGTTGATGTTGTTGATGTTGATGTTGATGATGTTGATGATGTTGATGTTGATGATGATGATGCTTTTGATGATGATGATGATGCTGATGATGATGATGTTGATGAAATGAGGGAAAGCATTTTCGTCATCCGCTTGCCCAAACGAACGACACGGGGAATCTCACAAAACATTGGCCCTGCACAGTCCAAACGCACTTTCCCGGGCAGCACATCCGTCCTGGCCGTAGTCGTAGTAGTAGTAGTAGTAGTAGTAGTAGTAGTAGTAGTAGTAGTAGTAGTAGTAGTAGTAGTAGTAGTAGTAGAAGTAGTAGAAGTAGTAGTAGTAGTAGTAGTTGTTGTTGTTGTTGTTGTCGTTGTCGTTGTGGTTGTCGTTGTGGTTGTGGTTGTGGTTGTTGTTGTTGTTGTTGTTGTTGTTGTTGTTGTTGTTGTTGTTGTTGTTGTTGTTGTTGTTGTTGTTGTTGTTGGTGTTGGTGTTGGTGTTGTTGTTTTTGTTGTTTTTGTTGTTTTTGTTGTTTTTGTTGTTTTTGTTTTTGTTTTTGTTTTTGTTTTTGTTGTTGTTGTTGTTGTTGTTGTTGTTGTTGTTGTTGTTGTTGTTGTTGTTGGTGTTGTTGTTGTTGTTGTTGTTGTTGTTGTTGTTGTTGTTGTTGTTGTTGTTGTTGTTGTTGGGGTGAACGCATTGGCAATACGTGAAACCCGTTTCCTTTTGTGTCTTTGATGTACTTTCGCCTTTAGTTCGTCAGATGACCTCACCAGATCCACTGGCCTGGAGGCGCAGTTCAACAAGAGCTGTCAACAGGGATCAGGTTTCTCATGTCTTGGAACCAGATCGACTTCAAGGGCAAGAACGGAGTGCAGACCTTGCTGAAGCGCCTGGCTGCTTCACCTTTGGTTCGCAAAAACCTCCCCACAATGCACACGCATGCTTGCAAACCACCTATGGCGCATTGGTTTCTCACCTATAGGTCTTTACGGTCTTTATTCAAAGGGGGATTTTCAGTAGCAGCACCATGCATTGGGCTGGCAGGGGATCTCTGGACACCCACCAAAAACATATCATAGTCAAAAGTGCTTTCCGAAATGGACAACCGTTTAGGGAAATGTGATATAGATTTATTCCAGATTCTATCTACTTCAGGATGATTGTATAAATTGATATAAATTGTATGAAATATATTGAGAGTAGGAATGCCTTTGCTTTTTTCCTAGGCTAAATATGCAGGCTTTGGAAAAACATAAATTAGACTGCGCATGACTGCGCCCCGATTCATTATGTTTATCGATCTTGGGTGGGCTGAAGTCCAATCCACCCAACTTAGCTCAGTTTTTTTCATGTCCGACATGAAATTAACCCTATTTTATGTATGTGAGGGTCACCCAGAAGTCAAAAATCAACATTTTTGTCGTGAAGGTCAGGTCTCCAATAACACTCCCCTTGAGGCAAGGGACATTGTAAATGAACTTTGGCCCCTTTGAAAAATGCTGGGTTCTTTGGGATTTCTCCGGAGGATCCAATTTTTAATGTTGATTACGCGTAGATAGATCTGGAAACACTATTAAAAAAATCAGTTATACCATGAAATAAACAAACTTCTCCAACGAACTGGGTCACCCCCTTGTATTTACATCCATGTTCACCATTCTAATCACCATTTTTGTTGCTTAAAATATGTGAAGAAACCACATGTCCATCCATTTTCCCAGGATCTCATTTTTCTGAGGCCATGGGTTGGGCTGGTTACTTGGGCTCGGAGACGCAGTACCGTTGCTCCGGCCCCAACGAGCGGTCGCTACAAGACGCAGCGGACGCAGCGGTGAAGCTGGGGATAGGAGCCAGGGAGATCGAAGATGCGAATGGTTGGGCTGCTTGGTGGCTATCATCACAATTCAAAACCTAGAAACCAGTGACTTTTATGGTGATCCTTGCGGATCATTCAATAAATAGTATGATTTCGCTGACTTATCACTGGTTTTTCGGGCCATGACTGTTGGTATCCCCAAAGTAAAACATGGTGGGTTTTTTAAGATCTAGAAATGGGGGATCAAAAAATTATACTAATTATATAGTCATCCTGGAGTAGATAGAATATGCACCCTTCATTTTTAAAAAAACTCACTTTATGGGAAGATCATTGAAACTCCCATATTCTATCTATTTCAGGATGATTGATTATACATGTGTATGTAGGATTCAAACACCGAAGAAAATGGGACCCACAAGAGTTCGTCTGTCTGGTAATTCAGTTTTGTTTTTGTTTTTCTTTGTCGGGTTGCGGCAAGTGCTTTTTGGGGGTCCTGGTAGCTGCTGTTTTTTGGAAATCCGTCAGCTTCCTGGGAAAATCATCTACATAAATACAAATGGTGGATCTTCCGTATATATGCTTGTTTTTAGTGGAGGGTATAGGAATAGAAGCCTTGTAGCAGTTTCGTCACTATTGCTACAGGGAGGTCTTACCCATCAATCTGTTCCCCCTTGAAAATAAACACCGCTTTGAACAATTGCTTTGGTTTTGAATTCGTTTATCCTGCGGGTCCGAGCACAGAGGCTTACTCTTCGGAGACGGGGATTGCGGGCGCACGTGCCTGTAGGAAACCCTTAGGATCAATCCATTGACTATATATATATATAGTTTTCAACATGCCATGCATATCATTAATTATCATTACATATCCCAGAAAACATCCCACAAAGGTGATTCCATGATATTCCATCAATCCATGTTTCCTTTCATTTGGATCCATTATTCATAAAAAATAGTGATTAGATCCAGCATGTTTCATGGTGAACTTCCTATCCACCATGATTTCACGCACCGCGCCGAGGAATTGCTGTTCTTCCAGAACACCTTGGAGGACCTCAATGGGCGATGCCCCAAAAACTCGCAGGCGCGTGGAGACGATTTTCCTGTTTTGTGACTTTCATTGGGAATATACCAATCACATGTTTAAGATTGGACACACTCATGAATATGTTGGTGTTAACATTGTTAACCACAATGTTTATAACATTTTACAACTACTGATGTTACAAAGACTCGCAGGTGTAGACTTCCCATAATCTAACGGATTTTCATGGGATTGGCATGGACTAACTAACAATCACATGATGTAACTGACCAACAAATTAGACACATTCCCGGAACAACAATCCAAAGATGTAACATGATGTAACTAACCAACAATTTCTGAGATGTGTGTGTTTGATAGGATATTTTTTTGCGCATCAATTTATGGTGATATGCTTCAGGATTTTTCATCCCTGTGGTGACTATCCAGTCTTTATGTGCGTTAGAACATGGATCTGGAGCATCCACACTCACAGCTGGCAGGTCCTAGTGACAAAAGAAGTGGTCCTAGGGAATTCCGAATTGACCGACAAATTATGCCATATGCCATAAACGTATATAAAATATTATAAAAGTGCCCTTTCCTCTTTACTTTGACTTCATCATCCATAGAATCTATCCCTTTGAAACGTTCGTTCGAAGGTGCACTTCAGCACTGTGAAGCTGTGCAACTCCTCGACTGAAAAAATCCTGAGGGGATCCCCGTAGCAACTTGTGGGCTGTCTGGGAGGATCCAAAGGATCCAAATTCCTATGATTGTCTTGCAATTTCTGCACACTCCACTGTCCGTTCTCTATTGCACAAGCGTCAATTTAATAGGGATAGTCGAATAATGATGATTATGCAGATGGAATGAGGCATCGTATTTTTAGACACACCTATTGTTTGGAGCTTGTCGTTGGCATGGATGTCCTTTTCCCACTCAGTGAATGCAGGGTCATAACTACTCAATTATTGTTAGTTACCTACCATTTATCATCAGGGTAATACAAATTAATCACAAACTCAAGTAGGGCATTGATTGATAGATGGTAACTGCCAAACCGGCCATAAACTTTTTTTCCAACAGGACATTGTTGGTTGTATCAAATCAATATTTGCATGTACATACATACATGCATACATACATGCATACATACATAGATTCATAGATACATACATAGATACATAGAAGCTCATCACACACATATATATATATATATATATAGACGTATATGTATATATATATATAATTATATATATATATATATTTGACATGTGGGCCCATATATATATATATGTACACATGACATACATATTTCTTGATGAACTATAATGACCTCACTGTGACGTCACTGGAATGATGGTGAGTAAGGGACATCATCCCCCAAATGGCATTATTTCAACATATTTCAACTATTTTCAGGTTAGTGACATTGATTATTATACTTTTGCTCTATATATGTATATATATGTATATACACGTCAATGAAGGGTACTTGGGGGGAGCAGTTGGGGTCATTAATGAGTACAACTATGCTAGTAACCTCCACCAATTGGCATGTAACCCCCACCCCTACAACCGTATGATACTATATGACTGTATGGTTATATACATATATATATATAACTTAACTTAATATGGTTATATACATTTATATACCCCCAAAAAACCGGGGAACCGCACCCCCAAGTAGACCCGTTTTTTTTTTAAGCAGCAGAAGCAGCTGCCAGGTGGTTTACCACTACACCGATCTGCCGAGCGCCAAGAGTATCGTCCTGGGCCGCCGGGGGCTGCGCGTGTCGCGCGGCGGTTTCAAAGGCGGCGGGGTCTTTTTCTCGAAGAAATCACCGGTGGAGGACGTCGACCCAGCGCAGGGCGACAGGCGGCTTCAGTGGGAGAGTCCACTTTGAGTATAAAACACTGTAAATGAATGCAAATGATGGTATTAGAATGGGATAAACCATCTAATTCACCATCCACAGTAGATGGGAGTTAATGGTTATCTGGGTCAAACCTGGTTAGATAATGTTAGATACGAACTAGTACTCCAAATTCTTTTGTCCATGGTAAAATGGACTCCAGCTAAAAAACATGCGTTCACCATGCTACAAGAATCATCATTTTAACCATGGGATTGACAGGTTGAAGGGTAGACACCACATTGGTAGCCTCTGGTAACAGTTCGCTATGAAAAATCACAATCCTTAAAAACGGTGAATCAACGAACTATATCAATGGAGCATTTTCATCCATTTTCAAAAGCAAAGTGTAAGAAATTACCGGAGGGTAAGTGATGTTACTCTGATCCTGAAGAACATCGAAAAAGCTGTGACACCCCGTGGCGACAAGACAGGAAAGCCTTGGTTTTTCGATGTTTTTCTTGGTCCGAGCCATGTTTTGTTTGGGTCCACTTTGTTTGAATATAGGCTACCCCATTCCATCCAATAATCAATAGAAACAGTAATCCATGTTAATCATTATGTTTCCAGATACACCAGAATATCCATTCCCATCATGATTCATGCGTTGAATCCCTATGGCTGATGGTTTCACAAGAAAGTCAGTTGAAATTTTCATAAATTTTCCATACATGAACCTGTTAGATCATGAATTTTCTGGTTTTTAACTCACCATTTTGGGGATATGCATCATGATATATCCAATTTTCAGGCACACCGAAATATCTACATCATCTGGTTACTGGTTGGCCTTGGCCGGTCGTCTTAACGCAGGCTCTGGCGGGAGCTGTTTCCTCGGTGGCGCGACCAGCAGCTGGTGCGGAACTACGGCGCCAATGTGGCGCCAGGGCGGAAAAACCAGGCGCGGCTCGGCAACTCGGGGCGCTTCGGGGGTCGTCATGGTACCCCAATAGCTGGTTGGAGGTTGGATGATGTTGGATGGTTCATGGAGCCAAAAAATATGGATCCGACTGGAGGAGTAGAAACTCAAACCTGGCTTGGGCGTTTGTGCCGTTTTGATGGAACATCTTCTGGTTGGTGGTTTCAAACTATTTTTTTTCCATAATATATGGGATAAATCCTTACCATTGACTAATATTTTTCAAAATGGTTAAAACCACCAACCAGTATTGGAAAATCACCAAAGATGATGATTTTTTTAATGCTTTTTTGGTGGGCAAAGATTGGCCATGATTGTGATGGGGAGGTCTGGGAAGCTTGAGAAACTTTGATGATGAGAGGAAGAAGGTGGATGTTGATGTTGATGTTTGTGGATATATGATATATATATATATATATGATATATATTATATATATATATGATATATATATATATATTATATTATATCTGGTTGGTGGTTTGGAACATGAATTTTATTTTCCCATATATTGGGAATGTCATCATCCCAACTGACGAACTCATATTTTTCAGAGGGGTTGTAACCACCAACCATATATATATATATGTAGCATTAAAGTCCGACTTACAAACCCCATGGGTTCTGCAGTTGTTTTTCACCACCTGATTTTCACCGCTCGTGTCAGTGGGGTGCTGATTGACCAAAAGATGATTGTTGGTCAATGTCCTTGTTATATATTTTTATGTGCTTACATCAAATATATATATATACACACACCAAATATACACCAAATATACATCAAATATGCATCAAAATACATATGATATACCATCATTTATTGTCTATATTTATTTATTTACATGTATTATATATATAGTCTATATATAGTATATACACATTTTGCTGAATGCATCCTTTCAAACATAAAACACATTGGCAGTGACGGGCCTTAAAGATCACTGTCGAAGCTTGTCTGTGGCTCAGGATAATGATCAGATCATATTTTGTATCTGGATGAATTTCTTTGGATTCTCCATAGCTTGTCAGATTATATCCATAGATGCCATAGATGAAACATCCACAGATGATCAGATGATCCATGGATTCGTAAATGTGTAAAGCATGTACAAAGCCCTTTTTCACATGCTTGGTACAATGTAAAAAAACCAACATGCAAAAAAACCAGTGGTTCTACACGGTTCTTTTTTTGCGCATGAACTAACCACCACTACAAGTTACTGCAACCAGTTGATAAACCACACACATCCAGTTGTACATGTGTGAAATTGGTGGTTTATCATAATTTCTCTATTAGAATTGCATACATTGCCTTTTGAATGAAGCTATCCACTCATTTTCAGACCCAGATGTTTGTTTTAATAACCTGCATCATTCACGCATATTTGGGGCTATGGGTCAAAACCCTGGTACCCTCGTGAACCTAGCTCGTAAATGGATGTGTGCCCCCCCAAAATACCATATTGTAGGTTTTGACTCATAGCCAACCTGGTTGGTGGTCTGGAACATTTTTTTATTTTCCCATATATTGGGAATGTCATCATCCCAACTGACTTTCATATTTGTCGAAGGGGTAGGTTGAAACCACCAACCAGTTTTCCTATGTCCGGGTCGCTTTTTTTCAATCCCTTTTGCTTCAAAGGTGGACGCTGTTTTGGTGTGCTACGTGCCCTTCAGCATGCTCGAGGAGTGTACAGTCCGTCTTGTACCGGAGTGTGGCGTGCCCCGTAACATCCTGCAACGGTGAGCGCTCAGTGAGCCACATCAAATTAATTGCTTTGGGATACCATCTGGTCATAGCGATTTAACCATCAACTATAGGGATTTGTTGTGGAATTGCTGTTGTCTTTAATGGAATTTTACCAACAAAAATGGGCTTGATACCCGATAGGTAATTTTGCAGAGTTTGCGAACTGGAATAGATGGTCCATTTAGATAGATGAATTATGATGAATTGGCGTATTTAAACATGCCTATTTTCCATAGCGAACTGTCAAATTGCCAGCTGGTTTGATGAGGGTTCTACTACTTGGGTTTGCTGAAGATGAGTGGTCCACTTAAGAGATGAAGAGGACGGAAAAGCAAAGCACCATCCAACATTCGGTTTGTCATGTTTGTCTAAGAATGGGTATACCGACCAATGGCATTTCTTAGATGGAACATGAGGTTATGAAACATTGGATTTTTGGGTGTTCCCGCTTTTTGAACAGCCCCTTGCTGGTTTAAGAGGGGTGTTGTTGATGGTTGTAAGCATAGAAACAGAATTCAACCACCCAACATGGAGGACATTTACCAATAAATATAGGGACCTAAACCAGGTCCAGTTCAATAACGAAAATGGCGTGATATGCGGATGATTGACAATAACTTATGGACGCTCCATTTTAAAAGGGAGCCCTTCTGTCATACTCAGACCTACTGGTTGCTTGAACATTGGATTATTCCATGGTCCCGTTCAAAGGAGTCATTACCCAACATCATTGAAATCATGTGGTCAAATCATGTCAAATCAGTGAAATCCGTTGAAATCCCTGATATTTTCGCTTAAAGCCATTTTTTTTGACAGATTTTCTGGGCACTAACCAGTCATTCATCACTAGTCGAGTCTTTTCTTCGCATCCCTGTCGCACTTCGAGGATGTCAGCCAACGCAGCGATGCGGCATTCATTTCCCTGGAGAAGTTCGAAACCTTCGCGGCCGAGTGAAACACTTGGGGTACTTCGGGGGGGGAAGGAACCAGGTAAGCTTTTCAAGCCCCAGGAGATAATTGGAGGTCGAAACCCAAGAATTACTTAAGGATTTTCTGGAATCTATTACTATTGCGTCCTTTAAAACTTATCAAGTTGATGTTTTTGAGGCTTCCATGGGATTCTTTGTAGCAATTCACAAGTCGCTCGTCGAGTCGCTCTCTCGGCAACCGAGGTTCGTAACAACGGATCCAAGTCTTTGATGACGACCATGAACCCAACAGTTCCCGAATCCATACCTTGACCATAACCAAAGATATCATGATATCGAGGAAAATCAAGCAACATCTCACCCAGTAGCGTATTGTCTGAATATGACCTCCCAAATGGCCATCAAACTTGGGAAAAATGGTGATGAAAACCAATGGATGGAATCTTGGGTAGTATGGGGATGTATGGGGTACAAAGAAATCCACATGGATATATATATATATATGTATATATGTATATATATGGAGGTTTCCTAAAATAGGGGTACCCCTGTTCATCATCCATTTTATTTTCGGATTTTCCATGAAATAAACCAGCCAGTTATTGGGGTATCCACATTTTAGAACCCCCCATATACACATATTATCATATTATCTATGAGAAACACCTGATGAACATCTTGCCATCCAAAAACCTTCAGAAATCCCAGGTACTTCGCATATCGCAACATCCCCAGGGCATTTCGCTTGGCCTGAAAAAGACCGACCGATCATGGCGCGAGTTGATCCGGCCCCAGGTCCAGTCAATAGGGAAAGTGATGGAACCATGATGAAATCCCAAATTCCGTTGCGTATTTGGGGGAACCATTGCGTTTGAGCTTGGATAAGACATCTGGTTTGGAACATGGGAATTTCATCATCTCAACATATCTCAACTGACTTTCACTCATATTTTTCAGAGGGGTAGGTATACCACCAACCAGACATGGTGCGATTTTCTAAATCACATCCTGACATATCCACTATTCATCACTATTCACTTGTGACCTTTCAACAGCCCAGTGATTTGGCGTCAGCAACTTGCCTATCACTAAGCATCAAGGGGTTACCCCTGCTTGGTTCAATTATGTTACCTCCAAAAAAAACAATCTAACACAACTATGGTTTAACATGGTTTAACCATGGCCCATTTTAGAAGATGCTGATCATTTATAGTCGCAGACTGTTGGTTTGCCTTGGGGTTAAATCATGTTTCATGTTAAGCTGGGCGACCTCAGGGGCCGTTGTCATGGGCCCTTCTTCGCAACGCCTGCGCCCTAGGCCGCCGCTGGAGGAGTTCAAGAGAGGCACAAAAGAGACGCCGCGAAAGTTCGGTCGCTGGATTAACAACGATACCAGAGGTTGGTGGATGACCCGTATTGTATACAGTACATCTAAACATATTATTGTTATTATCATTATATATTATTATTATTTATTATTATTATTATTACTATTATTATTATTTATTATTATTGTCATTATTGTTGTTATTATTATTGATTATTATTATATATAATAGATAAGATCGTATGGTTCAGTATATATATATTATATATACATATTACATATATATATATTATATACATATTACATATATATATATTATATATATTACATATATATATATATTACACATATATATATATATACATTATATACACCTCAGACAGTATGGTACATGTTCACCCCCTTTTTGGGCGAGTGACTGAGTGATGGCTGATGATCCTCAACAAAAGGACCAGAAATCCTGGTTGTATGGTGGGAGGTTCTTGGGCCCCTGTAGCTAAAATCTAATGTGACTGTTTAGTAGCTATACTATAGGCTAACGTACCACTTTGGTAAATGAAACCATTGGAGTCAAACCACTCCCGTAATTATGGATGATTATGCACCCTGGTGATATTATTTGCTACAAACATGGTAATCCCCCAATGATCTACAGCGCAAGGATTAACATTCATCCAGGTTGGTTGACATTTAATCGGATACTGCTAAATCGCCACCCAGTTATTTTATTTTGTTTATTGCCCATTTCGCGGTATAAACACCATAAACATCCATAACCCTAATAAGACCCTATAATTATGGACGTATAAATCCCTATATCACACATATAAAGCCAATTCATCTGTGTTTATAGACACATAATCCCTATAATCTGTGTTTAAACACCATTATCCCGAGAAAATCACCATGGACCTTCGGTAATCAAGGCATATCAAGGCCCGGCTCGACAAAACAGGTGAGATGCCTCGCTTGCAGCCGGACCCGAGGCTTGACCGTCTGGGCAAATTATAACGACCGAAGCCTGTTCTCCCGAAGCCTGGAATCATGGTTTAGATATAGCGGAATCATCCCCTTTTATGGCCGAAACTTTCAGGTTAGTGAAGTATGAAATAATTTTCCCAGATATGTTTGATACATATGATTCCAAATCTCTATAGAGATAAGGGCATTCGTGATATGTGATATATATATATATTAAAATGATGTATGTATGATATCATAGATATATGATATATCATTCCAAACTGTATATATATATATATTACTATATATTTATAGGTATCTATGTCTATAAATATATGGAAAACCACCTCATTTTGTGCCCTCTGTCAATGGGTAGCCGGTTGGCCCTGGTTGAACCAAGCTTGTTCTCTACCCATGCTTTGTTGATAACTTCTTAACCAACAACAATGATGGCTTAAAAAAAAACAATGGTCACCGCTGATCGCCTATAATAAAGCTTTATTTGTTGGGGAGGTGAACTTTTTGTTTGGGGAAGAAGCCTGAGATTGCCATGATGCTATTGTGCTATTCTTGGTGAAACTTGGGAGTGCTCCTGCGAGTTGGAGACTTCCGGTATAACTTCTGATAGCTGAAACATCCAACACACTAAAAATCATGATATGGTTTTTGGGATTGATGATGATGACAAATGATGACGAATGATGACGAATGATGACGAATGATGACGAATGATGACGAATGATGACGAATGATGACGAATGATGACGAATGATGACGAATGATGACGAATGATGATCATGATGATCATCATCATGATCATGATCATGATCATCATCATCATCATCATGATCATCATGATCATCATCATCATCATCATCATCATGATCATGATGATAACCACAACGGTAACCGCGATAGCCGACTGCCGCAGTCCCTCCTCGCGTATCGCCAGGGAACTCCGCGAGTTGATCTTCGAATTCGCCGACTTTGCCATCAGCATTTGGTCCAGGCCTTCCGGACGTTACTCCCAAGCGACTGGATGGGTAGAAACTAATCCTTCGTTTTTTGGCTATGGAAATTAACCAGCCAGCAAAACTTGTTTTTTTGTGGACTATATCAAAGATTGATCATGATTTGAATCGTTTTATTCTCACCACTTCAAACATCTTCGGACAATTTCAATCATTTGAACATCCATTTTTACAATTTTGACCATTTTCATCATTGGTTGTCACCATTTCAAACATATTCAACCATGTGAAATCCCTATGTTCATCCATATTCCCGCTTTTTTAAAGACCAGCAGCTCCAGCCATTGGTCAGGCCGCATCCCCGTCCCAGCATCAACATCTGGAAGGGTCGACTGGACCCGGTGGAGGTCAGACAGAGTTTCGGAGGGATTTTCATAGGGATTCCAAGCATCACACCAAGCATCAACATAGTTTCATATACCCTCTGGTTATGACTAACACTTCGCCATGGAAGCCATGGCCCCAATCGAAATGGAATGGTTTTTACCTGGTTTTGCTATAAAATGGATGGATTTTCCATGGCGAACCGTTAAATAACCAGATGGTAATGTGGTTTATATAATGCTGAAGTATGTATTTATTTAGTGGTTTCATTCTAAGATTCAACGCATATGGAGATTCTCAGTGGATATCATTGATAAATGAATATATATTATATATATACATACGATGGTTGGTTGATGATTAGCATGGTCATTTCATGAGGGATTTCATCGCCTGCATGGTGTTTTTAGCATCTAAAGTCTGGGGATATTGGGGTTACCATGATCCGCTAAGTCTGGGGAAATCCTTCCCATGGTTTTTCCACAGTAACACGATGTGATGCCACGTGCACATCCATCTATGACTACAATTTAATACATATTTATGATTATGTATAATATATATATGCTTATATGATCCATATGTATATATATATATATATGTTGTATATAGAATAGATATATATAATATATGATATATGTATATATTTGTTATACATATTATACTTATTTCATCATGATGTTCACGTTTTGGAGTCGAAAAACAAAATGCTTTGGATGATGTTCTGGTGAACTTTGGTGACCGAGGGCCCCAAGTTGGAATCGCTTGTGTTGGTTTAGTTGAGCGGGTGAAGGATTGGCTAGTTTATGATGTTATTTTTCATGATGTTTATGGTAGATATATCGAAGATCATAAACTACTATAAACATCATTCAATGAAAAATATATGATAAACCCATGGGCTTCTGTTCATAAAATATATGGTATATCATAACTATAAACATCTACCCATTCATGGTTTCTGTTCATGGGCTTTTTCACAACCAACCGCATCGAGATGGCATCGAATTTGGGGCTGCCAGATCTGCGGCTGCCCACCTATATCACTCCGTCAATATCTATCAATATCTATCTATATCAATCTATCTCTGTCTATAACTTTGGACCTATAACTATATGTTTACGTAGCTATACTAATACATAACTATATATTCATGGTATATCATGGTATATCTATCTAGCTTCACAATGCTCCGATATCCGTCCTGGGCCACAGGCATCGCTTCCTTACACCCATCCGGGTGACCGCGCGGTCGTGGAGGCGCTGACAACGGAGATGGTAATTCGCTGTTAGTTGATTACCATATATACTGTACCTATTGTATAACCATTGTATATGGTATACTATGTATATAACCAAACAGCTATTTTGGTTAGTTACCCTCTGGTAATTTAACATAGCTGTTGAAAATATGGCACATAGAAATAGTTGATTTACCCATTAAAGATGATGATTTTCCATAGCTATGTTAGTTTACAAGAGGGTAGATTCATAATAGTAGAATATGCTTTAAAATAATAGTTAGCTATCATAGAGTTATTTATGATAGTTCTAGTTCAAACGCGTCTACACATGTCTACACAGTATATGTTATATTGCAATCAATATCCGATTATAACTATATAGTAGGTCTTCTTCATACTATCCATTCAGATCCATCAAGTACCACTGTAGTTATCAATAGATTTACCAACTATCTGTACGTACTATAGACATATATATAATACCAATTGAACAAGACCCAGTTGCAAGTGCATTAGCATATATACATATACACATGGGAACGCCGTCTCAGCCGATCAAACTGAATGGCGAGGAGGCGGAAGTCATTGGGATATAATCATGGGAAATCATGGGAAATCATACTTCAACTAATGGGCCTGGTTGGTGCTGACTGGAACATGGCTTTTATGACTTTCCTATCATATTGGGATAGCCCCAACTGACGAACTCTTTCATATTTTTCAGAGGGGTAGGTCAACCACCAACCAGGTTGAGTTTAGCTATAACTTTTTTCCCATTTAGATTGCGGATCTCTCTTGATTTGAATCACCCATTTTTGTTGATGAAATCGTAGTTTCCTACCTTCTGGTAGCTGGTAGCTAAAATCCTAATTGTTTCTTAGCTGATGTTTGAATCAGAGTTTCCGTTGGTCGAATCATGCTGAAAAATCCTTATCTTTGGAAGCCGAACATCGTATTCATCCCTTTGTTGTTGAGATCTCAGTTTCTGTTGGTGAAATGGTCCAAATTTATACGTCAATGTGATCAAGAAAAGACATTGATACGGCAATCCAAGGGGTGATCATCATAATTTTCCGCCGAACATTTCTGAGCAACTGGCTATTTTAAGGTGGTTTAACGGTTATGTTCCAAACATTTTCAGAGGTACCCCCCAAAAAATGTTCCATTTTTCATGTTCCCAACAGCAGTGCTTGTTGGGTTGGCTGATCTCGCCGGCTAGCAGCCTGGGGGCATCACTTGTGTTCACCTGTCAACATGAAGCATTTACCCTAGGCGAAAACCAATGGTTCCCTTATGATTTTCTTCTACACATGCAGATTTTTATTCATCAGGTCTATGTGATGAATCCCACATGCTGATGCCAACTTGGGTAAACCATGGTGACATTGCAGGTTTTTCCAATGTTTTCCAATGACTTGGGACTTCCCCAAATTGATCCAACTCCTTCCTTTTTCCGGGTGAAATATGGTGAAATCCCCATGTTTCGTGGTGAAAACCATGGTTAAAACCACCATTTTCACCACTTTTCATGGTGTGAAATCCCCCCGACATCTGCAGGAGCTGCGTCGGCTGCGTCAGGAGGTGGGCGATCCCTCGAGACGGTCTCGTGGCACCAACACCCAAAAAAAACGGGTGAAAAATGGTGGTTTCAACATGTTTCAACCATGGTATTTCATGGTGAAATGATGGTTTTAACCATGGTTTTAACCAGAAAATGGTGGTTTCATGGTGATTGACAATTTAACCATGAACAAAATGCTGGTTTCATGGGGATTTCATGGGGAAAATGAAGCATTTGATGGAGTTGACCCTGCAGAAAGGACGGGGACATCACCATTTTGGCCATGCAAGGGTGGTGGTTGGTGATTTCATGGGGATTTAAACAACGTTGGTATAGGGGAAAATTGATGGAATATTTGACGGAATATTACCAACCATATGGTGTTTTTTTCATAGTGGTTTCATGGTGATTTCATCGGGAAAGTACGCATTTTATGGCTAGATACTGTATATGTTTTTTATTTATGACACTTGCTTATTCTATGTTTTTTTTTAATCACCATATTATTCTTATGTGAACAAACTGTCTCCACACTGAGACCTTGAAGTTGAATCCCACTGCTGTTAAGTTGCAAAGCCGGGTGACTTTTTATCAATATAATGTACTATATCATTCACACCTATGACAGTTGATTGGTTAACTTATGGTTTAAGACTTTTTTGTTACCATTGATAACACCTAAGAATAAGAATATAATACATGTATGACTTAAAAAAGAAGGATATTATTAACTGTACGTTTTATTAATAATACATATTTGATATTTATCATATTTCTTATGTATTACTGTATTATTAATTATTCTTACAGATCATATTATCTTGTTATTTCTATAAGTTCTATAAGTTCTATATTTACCATATTATATTTCTATAAGTTCCTACTAGCGCTTCTTATTTCATTTGACGTAACAGCGAACTTCGGCTTCGGCCGCTGAAATCCGATCGCTCCCAGGTTGCATCGCCTGGGGGAGTCAGGACGGCGAGAAGTGTTTGTCTTGTAACAGGATGGCCCAGTAATATGGTAATAATTAGCATTAATTATCTATGGTAATAATCATATATGGCCCAATCATATTATCCATTAATTAGCCATATTACTGATAATACATATGGTTAATATTACTATTATTAATGCTAATAAAGCCATATATTAATGATAATACATATGGTTAATATAGCTAATTATATGGTCATATGATGCCAAAGAACAAAAAAACACTCATATAATGAGCATTTAAAAAGGCCATATGATTATATAGCCATATGATTAGCCATATAATTAGCTATGGTTTTATTTTGCCATTTCAGAAAGGCCCATATCCCAACTCATGGAGATTAGCATGGCTCCCATAGATATTTCACCCTGTAACCCTGTAACCGTGGTCGCGAAGTCGCCAGAGCCAGGACAGCTGGCGCGGCAGAATTTCATGCGCCAATTTCCGGATCATGACATCACAGGTGCGGCAAGCGGTAGTCCTCATAAGTGCAAACCCCAGATGGTAAGTCCACATTTTTTGTGGTCCCCATTTTTTGTGAGGTTATACCATATATAACTGGACTATAGGATTTTTTTTCAGTAGAAAAGCAGATCCTCCCCCCCAAAAAAAGGGGGAAAACAAACAACAAAACAATTCCGTACCCTTATAAGTATGGTTATGAATCAACTACTTACTAAATGGGAATGATCCTCGTAGCAACGGAGGGAACTATCCTAGTAGCGGGCCCTCGGAAACTCGGAGCTCAATCAGCTCATCGGAGATTGTGTAGTGAAGCCATTGCCGATGGAAATGGCTAAATTGTAAAGCAGGACATTGAACATAAGGAGGCTTTTTTTGAGGTTTCCTAAAATGGGGATACCCCTAGTTACCATCCATGTTATCATATCGGATTTTCTCGCGGGTAAACCATCCAGATAGAAATGGGTATCCCGCAGTATTTCCCCATTTCTGGAAAACCGATTAGTTTTACATTTGGCTTTACCAGATTAACACATATGAAAATGAAAACTAAGGGGAACAGAAGCAATCACCTTCGAAATATGTTCCGTCTCTTCATGTCATGCGGGAACAAACTTTGATCAATGATTTCGGTAGAAACACATATATTTACATATATAATCATATATATATATAATTGATTATAATTGTACACATATATAATTAGTATAAAATCAACGGGGTACTTAAAATCAAACCATCCAATTTTGCTGCTACTCAATCTTGACGCAGCATCCAGGTTCCCATACTTTCAAACCGCAGATGGAGTTTTGCTGATTCTTGGGTGCTGCTTGATGACAATACATCCCCCCTCACAATGATTGAATTTCGTGAATGGCTCCCGAACGAAAAGATCGATCCAATATGATCCATGACTAAACCCTGCGATTCAAGGTGGGCAATAAGATAGGCAAGGCAATGCAGGGCATTCACTATTCAGGTAAGCCAATTTCAGATGATCCAGTCAAAAAATAATACCACTTCCGATATGAACCAACCAAATAATACCTATCCTATCCCAATGATACTATCAAAGAATGTTCCCTTTATTAAAGCATATCTCCACTATCGACACAAGACCTTCCTGGATACTCATTGCCGAAGAAATACCTCTACTTTATTCGGATTCTGATTAGAATACAATACTATACAATGTCGCCATTATCTACAATAAGAATACCACACTATTATCATGTCGGTTTTAAATATTCTTGTAATTGCAATAAGAATTCAAAACATACATCAATCAGTTGAGGGGGTTCCTAGGCTGTGCCCCCAGCTATCATCGAGCTATCTGGGTACCCCAGGCCGTACCAGCTCTACGCCCCCGCCCGTGGCACGCGGGCGCGGTGCGCTTCAGCCCGGTGCGCGGCGAGACCGGGCTGAGGCGGTGAAGGGCCGCGTTGGGGGATGTAGAATACTCTGGGGACATGGTGATATGAATAACTGTGGTGACCTAATGTGATATATATATATATATATATACATGATTATATGTATGCCCAAATAACTATGGGATACAACTAACTATATCTAGAATCTATAGTTGGATGGCGTTATGAACCAATTGATATCGTTGAGTACTTGGATGGATTGTTTTTGAAGCAAGACACATCACTGGGGGGCCCCACAAGACTTGGGGAAGTGATGCACTTAGTGATATGGGGATGGGCCAAAACCTGTCAGGTTATACCATTAGAATCCATTACCCTCTGGTTATTTAACATAGCCATGGAAAACGGCCCATTTATAATCATTTATAGATGATTTTCCCAGCTAGAAACCTCCATGTATGAGAGATTTTCCATGGCTATGTTAAATAACCAGATGGTATAGACCATACTTGTGGTGATGAACAGATCGATGAACATCAAACAAATCCCAGCTATTTTGGAGTGATTCCATGGGTTGAAAAACCACAGCCATAGAAGTAAGTTCCCTGGTGGTATGTGGCTAAGATTTCTGGGTCAATCATCTTTAAATAAACCGGTTTGGCGACAAAGTTCAGTATTATAATATATATATCTATATAATATAAACATTTTCTGGTGAACGGTACAGGTAAATGAGTGGCTGACATTTTTTGGGTGATTGAAACGAGAAATCAGGGCGATTTCTAGCCATTCAAGCCTTACCATGCCTTCTCTACAAGGGTGAATCGTAGCGACCTAAAAAAAGGCTCTGTAATTACGGAGGAAGTACCACAAAACGACTAAACAAATATCATGTTGGAGATCAAAGAAGGAGTATCACTGTATCACGCTTCCCTCATTTTACCATCCTGCTCGAAGAAATTGTTTTGCTGCGTTCTCCAGTTGGGTAGCCATGATTTGGCCATTGGCCGTTCCCGAAGTAACATAGGGACTTAACCAGGAATAACCCTCTAATCAAACATGACAACAAAGACTTCCTTATAAATGGAGGTTTGAATGGGACTATCATGACTATCCTTAAAAAACATGTGGATTTTCCAGCAAACCATGGAGCTGATTAGCAGAGGGTCAGCAGCTCGTGGTGATTTCTCCTCTGTGACTTCCATCACTGGCCTGGTGTCATCAAACATGGCGAGGGAAATCCCTTAGAAATGGAGTTTTCCAGCTGAGAAAATGGACAACTTTACCCTCTGGTAAACATACAAAAAGCTATTGAAAATGGCCATTGATAGTGGATTTTCCCATTAAGAATGGTAATTTTCCACAGTTATGTTGGTTTACCAGAGGGTAAAGTTGGATTTTCCAGCATTACCAGTACTGGATCGTGACTGGAATGATGGTTGGGGGTAACTATCCCCGATTGGCTGAACTTTTCATTGTTAGTGAATGCTAGTGAATTATTTTAGACCTGACACAGCTTGGTCCCGTAGCTGTGATTCAGGTGAAGCTTCCACTCAAACCATCGTAGTCGCAGTATTTGTTGAATGAGTTCCACCCTTTTTACAGCATAAATCCAAGTCTTTACTCAGGAATTGCATGCAACGGATCCCTCCGGTGTCATCAAACGTGCCTGGAAAATCACCGAACTAAATGGAGGTTTCCAGCTCAAAAAGCCATGGAAGTACTGTGCAGTTCATGATCTCTGAAAACATTGGAAGGGGTTTTTCATGAAATGATCAGCCATCAAGAAGCCATTCTTTGATGTCAACTAAGTTTGATACTTAATTATGCTATAATCATGCTCAATCCATCTGAATCTTGGGCTTCCTGCCAAGCTTCGCAGAACTTTTCTTTTAGCCTCCGGCATCATCAGCTCCATGGCTTGCTGGATTTTCTCCACCATTTAGGATGATATTCCCATTCAAACAAACATTATACAATCATAGGGGACCTTTCCAGCCAGCCAGGTTTGATGACAGCGGAGGGTAATGATCCATTCATATTCCATGACTATCCCATAAAAAAAAGAAACAATCATCTAAATCATATGAAATGAACCATTAACCGGTATTTTTAAAAATTACTAGACCATTCTATAAATAGCTGATTTAAAATTTTGGAAAAAAAACAAAGTGTACTTATACCTCTTTAAGTTACTGCAAACCATATTTACCTCAACCATCAACCTTTTTCCACCGCGGGTTCGTCTTGCCAGATCAAACCACCCACGGCCACGAGTTCCATGAGCCGTGCTTCCTCGGTGTCGCCGCTTACGGCTGCCAGTGCTGGGAGGTGGACTGTTGAATCTGTGGAGAAGTTGGGATTCGTTGATGAAATCGATGGAAATAGGTTTGGAAATATAAAAACTGGTTGGTGGTTTGGAAGATGTTTTTTTTTCCATATATTGGGAATAATACTCCCAACTGACTTTCATATTTTCAGAGGGGTTGAAACCACCAACCAGTAAAAAGATGGAATAGAAAAAATGGATCATAAACTGATAACATGTGCGAACAACAGGTGCAGCTTTCTATTTCTTCGACGGGTGATGGTCTCACCTTTCACCTTTCGCATCGAAATGCTGCGAGTTCGCCGTTTGGCCGCAAATAACTCATCTAGCCATGGTATAATGATCCCAAGTATAGATGGTGAAAAACATGATTTCCGATTTCCCAAAAAGACATGTCCATTTAGTTCGGGGATTTCCCAGCCACATGTCATGACACTGGGGGGTACCCCGGTACCCATCGAAACGGATCTCCAAACGGATCTCCCAGCTGCGTGGCAGGCCTCCACCGCCGCGGAGTCGTTGGCACATCGACGAGTCGTGGGTCGCCTATAAGACCTGTCAGGGACGTGTGGTGGAGACGGCCGGGGAACCCGTCGTGGAGATCCCTGGAGGGGTTGGAGAGCTTATGGCATATGGAGGGGTTGGAGTATGCTTGGAGTACCCTCTGGTAATTCAACGTAGCTATTGAAAATTGCCATAGAAATAGTGGATTTCCCATTGAAAATGGTGATTTTCCATAGTTACGTTAGTTTACCAGAGGGTAACATATTTTCAACGGAAGGTCAGCTATGATGGGGATGGAAGTCAGACTTGTGCTATCTTAAGAGATCTGTAGGATATAGTGGAATTGTGCCGAAAAATTGAACATTGGAGGTGTTCCTAACATCATAACATATCATAAGACGACGTTTGTGGCATTCCCTCGACTTTATTAGTTGGTTTTGTAAACCCTGACATTGGAGGGTGAAAAGACCCTGCTAAGTACGACGTACTTACGCTCTGTGAATATTTCCCTCAGAAACAATGCATTCCCGAACTAAACATAGGCTATCCGCAGGTTTGATGTCTTTTGAGAACCTCCATGTGTGGGGGCGTCGCCTCCGGATTTGCATGATCTCCCTATTCTATTTTACCTCTGGATCCTCATGATATCCTCACTATATTTTGCATAATATCAACCCTACTATATCATGACTCTATCTCCATATAAAGGTTGGTTCAATGTTTTTTATCCCCAATGATTGGTCGGTTGAACCCTTTTTTTTCTTCTCATGTGCCCAAAATATCCCAGAATCATGTTTGGTATAGCCCCATGTTTGTGCTTTAGGTCACCAGTTCGCTCCATGGCAAGTCACATGAATTCAGGTCCAATTGCATCCCGAAGAGCAGGGCCAACTGACCCGTGAAGGCGCCGCTTTTGGATCGGTTTTTGACGTCGGAAGAGTCTTGGTTGCGCCAGGAATGGTGGATTTTCACCAAGAAACATGGGTCTTTGAGCAACAACAATGCTAGAAGAGTGAAAAAACATGTGGCTTAATTACATTTTAACTATAATACCATAATCTTTGAGCAACACAATCCCCAATTTAACTACCATTCTACTAGTACCATAGATTGGGGATGACTTTGGTAGAAAGTCATCCCATAATCTGCATGCATCATTCCAGTTACGAATGGTGCTTTGTACAGTAACCTTGATATAATCCATTCCTGATGAAATATCAGCTAAGCAGTATTAATAGGCGTTTTAACTTTTTGAACATCCCATAAAATTTTGGGATGATGATGATGATGGTGATGATTGTGACTAGCAGTGATGGGCAGAGATATGCAAGGAAATGGTGCAAGAACCTCATACGACTAGCCATTGATGGGACAACGAATAGGCCCCAACAGATCTGAACATGAATCTGCGTGCAACTTTGACACCCCGGAAGTTCTACAGATTGATTGTGTGTAATTTCCGCAGCATCCAATTTTTGTTCAGCTCCCCTGATTTTGGGGATGTGACCCAAGCAAAAACGTGCAGGTTGGGCCCAAAGATTCGAACGACGGGAGTGGCAAGTTCATCTTGGCAAGGCCAAATGCTGGTTCTTGGAGTCGCTGAGATGTGAGGATGTCATGGCGGCTCGTGACAGTTCCAGTTTAGATTTGCCCGGTAAATCAACGTACCCTGAACATCACCATTTTTAGTGGAACCTAATCTTCCAAGCCCTATCTGGCAGGGTTAATTAGTTAATTGAAGGATGTTGATGAATTTCACTGAATTTCAATACTGTACAGACTGTACATTTCAATGACATCAATATCCATTGAAAAGTCCTTTTCAAAAGCCTTTGGTCCCATCATGTCCCATCAACCAACACATTGAACGCCACTTTAGATGGGTTTCCCGTGGACAATGGAGGATGATGGATTTCCACCTCTGTTGTGAGGCTCTTATGCTGAATATTGCTAGTATATTGTGACGACCAAGAAAATATGGACAAATAAGGGAGCTGTCTCGAGTCTCAAATTAAAATCTGAAACCCACAGCTTATGGTTTATCATGATGTTCCCCATTGAACAGAGGGTAAATCCCATTAAATCACAATTTTTGTTGTTTTTTTATCCCATTAAACCACCATTAAACCACCATTAAACCACCATTAAACCACCATTAAACCACCAATAAGCTTTACCACTGGTGGCTCATCCCACTAAACAGTGGGTCGGTTCACCCATATTTTGGTGGATCGTCATCCCAGTCCCAGATCACTTCGGAGTACGAGCGCTGGGCAAGTCACTGGCTACGACACGGTCGATCTGAGGTCGGGCGGGTTGGAGTTCTGCCCTGTTGATTGGTTACCCCTGGTAAACATACAAAAAACTATGGAAAATCGCCATTTCTAATGGGTAAATCCACTATTTCTATGGCCATTTTCAATAGCTATGTTAGTTTACCAGAGGGTATGTGAATGGGATTTAGCCATGACTTATAGGGATTTTATACCGGTTTTAACATGTTGAAAATACCATCATGAATGTGGGATATTATGGGATATGATTGATCAATGATGGTTGATTGGTTACAGTAGCGTGTTATATTGCTGTACCTGACTACTTGGGAATGTAGTCGGATATTCTCGGAGTATAATGGGAGCAATACCTATCATATATGTGCCATGGTCAGAGGCTGGATTATATAAACACATTCAACTGTCGATATATTAATATCCACTATGAAACCCAACAATTTGCCAGTTTGCATAGTGATTGCTACCTACTTACCAATCATAAATCACACACACACACATCCCCTATGTTTAGTTTTCTGGTTTAGTCCAGTTTTTGTTGCATGTTTCAATCCCATTTTTGCTGGTTCAAGATGGTTCAAGTTCAATCATGTTAAATTATCTCCATGTTTGTTGCTTTAATCCTTTTCATATTCCAGCTTTCCTGCCAGCTTTCCTATCGCAAATGTGTAGGTATTTTGGACTTAAGCATAAGCCTTGTCCTTCTGTTTCTCACCTTTGAGTTGTGGATGTTTACTTTTCTTTGCGTCCATGCATGTAAAAAGATGGTTGGTTCCATCCCTACTTTTAGTGGGCCTCAATCCCAATTTTTATTGTCCTCATTCAAAGACTTAGACGGCCAGAATTATAGAACAATGGATATAACTATAGAAAACGGATAGAACTACAGCTGCCGACAGAACTATCGGAAACAAAAAGGAGTGAACTTGTCATAACAAAATTGATTCTAAGGGGATTCTTAAATCATCTTGAAAATCAAACATGTTTCCAACCATCTATCAAATAAACAAACAACATTTCTAAAATCTAACAGTATCTAACATTCTAAAATCTACCCTCTGGTAAACTAACATAGCTATGGAAAATCACCATTCTTAATGGGAAAATCCACTATTTAACTATTTCTATGGCCATTTTCAATAGCTATGTTAGTTTACCAGAGGGTAAAATCTATCAACCATGGATTCTAAGTCAATGAACATGTCCGTCCCCGAAGGGTGATCCCGTGACACCTCGAGCCGTGACCCAGAGCTCCAAGGTGGGGGTCGGGGTTACCCCAAACCCTGGGGGAGATATGTGAAAGATGGTGAGACATGTAAGAATATATAAATACAGATTATATACATATATTTATATGATTGTATAATATTATGTATATGTATATATGTATATATAATTATATATATATATATGTATATATATATATACATATATTGTATTAATCAACAACTATGGTGATTAAACTGCATATATATATAAACTATATATATATATAAACTATATATATGTATATACAAATCACTATGGTGACTTACTGTATGTTTATATATAGATATATAATATATAGCAATAACTGTGAGATAAAAGTAACTGTATAACTATCCAGTGATTAGGAGACCGATTCGGAGCGGTTGATAGCCCATTGAACCTTGGTGCAGCGCTACGCGAACAGCTGCAGCACATCTGCGGGTTTCCAGACAGGGAACCGTAGATACTACGCAAGAGCAACGCGTTTTATATTGGTTTACTTGCGGCTAAGATTGAGCCATGGAGCCTACCAAACCCCCTAATATTTTTTGACTATAACTTGGTATACCTTGAACTATTTTCTCCAAG